GGAATCACTTGACCTCACTGTTCCTCTTTCCGATGTGGCCATTGGATAAATCCTATTTATTTGCTTTTCACTCTTGTCTCCAGAGGACAGGTACATGGGTTAGCATGTTAAGGCTCTTGGAGTCCAGGCTGTGACCCTGACAACCCTGGTAACGGTTTTCCTCTGACCCCGACAGCTCCAGTAATAACCTCTTGGGAGAAGGATGAGGTTTGAACTGAGTTCTGTCTGGCTGAAAAGCCGCTTGCCCTTCCCAGTGTGTACTGAACCCAGGTATTCCGGCCTCCCGGCTCCAGTAATCAGCACTGGAGTTTCTACCAGCACTCAGGAGGCAGAGGCAGGTGGATCTCTGTGAGTTCGAGGCCAGCCTGGTCTACAGAGCGAGATCCAGGCCAGCCAGAGCTGTTACACACAGAAACCCTGTCTTGAAAAAACAAAAATAAAAAATCAAGTTGATCAATATATTTTTTATTGGAAAATCAAGTAAAGTGGTAATAATGAAAGCGCAGAGAGAGCTGGGTGTGGGCTCACATGTGTAATTTAGCATTTTAAAGGTTGGGGCAGGGGAGTTGTATGAGTTTGAGGCCAGCCCCCTGAAAAGGAAAAAAAAAATGGGGACCTGAGGATGTAAAGTGCTTGACTAATATGTATGAAGCCTTAGATTTGTCCCTGAACAATAAAAAAGAAAGTCATAGGAATAGAAGGGTTTATGAAGTCTAAACACACACAAACACACTCATACCTCCTCCCACCCCCTTCCTTCCTGAGACTCGGCTTTACAGTATCTTTTCAGATCTCATTACAGATGGTTGTGAGCCACAATGTGGGTACTGGGAATTGAACTCAGGTCCTCTGAAAGAACAGCCAGTGCTCTTAACCGCTGAGGCATCTCTTCAACCCAAGGTTTCATAATATTAAGGCTGAGCTTGAGCTTGTAGTTATCTTACCTCAGCGTCCTGAATGCTGAGATGACGTTGTGCCAGCAAAGCTCAGTGAGGCAATCAATGCTTGTTCTGAATTTGTAAGTTTTAACCAAAGAAGGAATTCAGAAATATATCTGTGTATATGTGTGTATGTGAGTTTATACATAACCTAAAGGCTTTACATATAGATGGATATGTATGTGAATATATCTACTTATATATAACCTGTATGAGTGTGCATGTGTATTTGTGTGCATAAGTTTACATAATACACACACACACACACACACACACACACACACACACACATGAGGAGTTCATATATAACCCCTGAAGTTGTGTGTGTGCATGTGTGTGAGTGTGTGTGTGTAAAACCCTTGAGGTTCTGTCATCATCTTTAAATTTGAGAGTATTTGTTGTTGTTGCTCTGTTTTGTTCTGTTTGAAGCTGGCCTCGAACTCACAGTAATTTTCCTTAGCTAGCTTTGTAACTGAAGGATGACAATGCAGCGACAGTGAGGTAAAAGCGGCACACAGTGGGAGCCAGGTGGTGGCTCAGAGGTTTAAAGTACTGGCTGTGCAAGCCTGAAGACTTCCATTTCCAGGAGGGGCCGGGTCCGTAACGTTTCCTCTGACTGCCACACATGTGCTGTACCCCGAATTTCATCCATTAGGCTAGACCAGCCCGCCAGTGAGCTTCAGGGACTTGCCTGAAGACAGGGATTGCAGGCTAGTGTTGCCATGCTTGACTTTTAAAAAAATACAGTTATTTTCATTTTTAAGTAAGAGAGAGAGAGAGAGAGAGAGAGTGTGTGTGTGTGTGTGTGTGTGTGTGTGTGTGTGTGTTTGTGTGTGTATCTATGCACATGAATGCAGGTGCCCTTGGGAGCCAGAGACGGTGTTTGATCCCCTGGAGCTGGAATTATAGCATCTGTGAGTCACCTGAGGTGGGGTGCTGTGAACTGAACTTGGGTCCTCTGCGAAGGGATAAGCTTTCTTAACAGCCAAGCCATCCTTCCAGCACCCATGCCTGACTTTTTGTTTTGTTTTGTTTTGGTGTTTTTTGAGGCAGCGTCTCTGTGTATCCCTGGCTGTCCTGGAACTCGCTCTGTAGACATCAGGCTGGCCAGAGATCCGCCTGTGTCTGTCTCCCAAGTGCTGGGACTAAAGGCATGCACCACCACAGCCCGGCAACCATGCCCAACTTTCATATGCGTTGTACTAACGATTTGAACTTGGGTCTCTGTGTCTGTGTGGCAAGCACTTTCCCAACTGGACCACCCCTAGCCCCTAATTGCATCTTGAGGAGTAACTTTGAAGGACTATTTCTAGATATCACCAAACTTTTCCGAATGTGGTGCCAGGTTGAGGCAGAGTACAGTGTATGGT